TGGAGAAATGCTCGTCGAGATAATCACGTAAGCAAGGTCAACTAATACGGATGGTTATTTATTTAAACATGTTTTTAAGCTAGAATTTGATGGATATTTGATAGATATAGTTTTTATTTTTTATAGATATATCTAGTGGTGTAAAAGCTAGATGGCTACCCCGAGAGACAACATGGATGAAGAAATGATGAATATTATCAACACCGGCACTCAATTTGCCGATGGTGACCAGCTGGATGTAGATGACGAGAGTCAATACCTGGCTCTTGAAGATAACCAAGAAAAATATTGTGCCAGAAAATACTGGCGAGGTATATATATTTATATATATATTTGAATATTATATATATATATATTTGAATATCTATCATCTATTATGTGTACACATGATATTTATTTATTCTTTTTTATACGCAGCCCTCTGGATCGACGACCACAATGGTGAAAAGCAAAAATATTTGAGGCCCGAAAAAGCCATTGGAGGGGTGCTACATAATATCAGAATTCAATATCAAGACAGGCGAACCACTTGGTCCACATGCAAGGAAATTCGTGCAATACTGTGGGTGCCATGTAAGGGACAGACTTCTGATCAGTGCCCGTGAATGAAAGCAAAAGATCAACAAGCCTCATGTTAGTTTTGTGTCTGGTCTTGATAAGAATTTAATTTGGGATGATATCCTTCAACATTTCACGTTGCAAGCGGATGATTATGATGCTATCAACGATGATGAATTGAAGGAACTAGTTCGAAAATGGGCTATGAAGAAGATGGCCACACAATTTCAGACTCGAAAGAAATCCCTATACACGAAATACGTCAAGAAGAACCTAACGCCCAATTTCAATACTAGTGGCCCGCTCGTGAAGTTGAGGCCCTACTGGAATGATTTTGTACAGTACAAGATATCAGAAGAGGGTGAGGAACGGGTGAGAAGGAACCAAGAGAATGCCCGACATAAGGTATACCACCATGGCATGGGATCAGGTGGCTACGCGACTGTCATTCCCAAGTGGGAAAAAATGGAAATGGACATTCTTGCCAAGGATATCACACCAGAATCACTCAATTGGCCCAAACGTGCGAAGAATTGGTTTTTCGCTCATGGGGGAAGACTGGACGTAGAGACCGGGAAGCTGGTTCATGGCACAAAACTCGAAAGAGCAACACAAAGATTTTCTTATGCTCTACAAGCTAAAGCTATTGGTGCGTTCAGGCCCAATAGAGAGAAGGATGAACTGACGTATGCCCTTGGGACCGCTGAACACAGTGGCCGAACGAGAGGTTTAGAACGAAACATTTTTTGGGAGCATGGTTTCCCTAATGACAGAGATACCTATAGAAGCCGGCAGAGAAGGAAGGATGAGGATGCAGCGCGGATCAGTAGGTTGGAGGAATTGGTTCGTGAGTCACGGGAGGCGTTGCTTCAAGCACAGGAGCGTGAAAAAGACATGCAAGCTAGAATGTAGGACGAAATCATAAAGCAAGTGCAAATAGCAATGAGTGCCCAAAGGCAGGCATCAGATCTAGGAATCAACATTAATATTAGCCCCCCTGATCAGTTGAAAAGCAGATGCTCTTCCACGCAGTTGCCAAATCAAGATGACATAATGGTACGTTTCCCCGTGGATGACATCACTATACCATTTACATCATGTGAGCTACATATTCCAAAAGAGAATGCCACAATCATGGTGGCTCTCAGTGTTTTTTCTCCTCCAGATCCTACCAAGACACCAAGAATCCATGGGGCAATAATACCACCTAGATATGTTAGCGTCTCAGTGGATAGAGTTAACAAAGGTTTTAGTGATCTGGCTCTTGACATTCCAGGAGGTGATGGGGAGATGACTCTAGGAGAAGCAGAAAAGACATTCATACTATGGCGCAAGCGCTACATCATTATTCCCGGGATCTCTAGTCCACCGCCGCTTCCTCAACTGCCAGACAATAGGTGCGGACAAAAGTGAACGAAACAATTTTTTTCACAAATTTTCTATTGACATGCATGATTAATAATAACAATTTCTTATACCTAATTATTCTTTTTTGTAATCACACAGCAGGGCCTCCGCCAACCTAAGTCCAATTATTCAATCTCCAGATCATCATAGTGCTCCGGGCAATGATTATGCAACGCCGCCACCGCCGCCAACTCCAAGGAGGTCTCCAACGCCTCCAAGGAGGTCTCCACCGCCGTCACCTCCAAGGAGGTCTCCAACGCCTCCAAGGAGGTCTCCACCGCCGTCACCTCCAAGGAGGTCTCCAACGCCTCTAAGGAGGTCTCCAACGGCTGCCCCGCCTTCCTTGATGATCAAGAAGCAGCCAGCTCCTAAGAGGTCCGCCTCGCAAACATAGCCGTTGGCCCACCAGCCGGCAAAGAAGAAAGCCTGCTCTAATCCAGTTATTCCCCAAAAACTGTCTTACGAGAAAAGTGAAAAGGAATTAAAGGATGTAGTACAAAAAGATGTGAAAAGTTTCTTCGAAAAAGTAAGAAAGCAACAAGAAGCGAGGGAGAACTCGGAGAACTCGTACTTCTACCTAGCTCCAGATCTTCTAAGAAAGAAGGTGGACCAGAAAAAGCGGGAATCTCAAAAGACCCAGCCAAAATCGGACTACGACCGCTCTCTCACCAAGTCATTTGAGGCGGCGCAGAAAAAGACTAGAGTAGGGAAAGGTGTTGCACAACTTGGACAACAATCGCAATAATCAATCCCCCCTCTTGTCATTCGTAATGAATATGATTCAAACTTAGACTTACCGGACGTCAATTTTGAGGAAATGGTTCGGTTTTATGAGGATACCGGTTTGGACCTTGCTCAAGTGCTCGCTGAAGGACCATCTGCTCCGAAAGTGGATCCTTAGAAGAAATTTAAACATGGAAAGAGTCTATACAACCCTGAGGCCTTAGGTTAACTGGGTACGCAAATGTACCAGCTAAACAAGTGGTACATGGCGGCGTGTGAACGAGGAGAGAACTTTATTTCTGTCAGAGTTAGAAACTAACATTATTTCCGTGGCGATGACGTTATATATATCGAGTTTTTTGAATTACACCAACTATTCCACCTGGACTCTCTCGACAAAAATCTCATTAGCTACTATTGTTTGTAAGTGTGATTATTTTCTACTATTAAAGTGTATATATATAAAGCTACATGTATATATATAAATTATATATCCTCACACTATATTTTTATATATGCAGATATGAGATGACAGAACTCAGAAAGAGAAAGGATAATGATATTGGTTTCATTGATCCAAATGTCGTATTCAAACACCCTGATCCCCCGCCTCAATGGAAAGCTGAACTCGAGAAAAATCTCATGAGGTTCTTAGTGAACCAACAAAACAAGACAATACTATTCCCCTACAACTTCAAGTGAGTGTTAAATAATTAATGTCGATCATATGGACATTTATTCAATTATTTGCTTACTAGCTAAGCTATCTCCCATATATATATATATATATATGTTGACTCTAGTTAATGTCGATCATATTTGTGTATAAAAACATATACAATAATTACTGGATATTGATGGTTATCGATATGGCCAATAGTCGGTTGAGCATCTTAGACTCGTTAAGAAAAGAACAAACAGAGTACCAAAACATGATAGATATTATCCAAGGGTAATTTGGTCTCTCTAGCAGCTATATATACCCCGATCTCTTAACTGTAACAATTATTAAAGGCCAAATTAATTTTTTATTTTATTGGGCTCAGTGTTTGGAAAAGTTTCATTGAGGAACACCACATGAAACATTGCAAAGCGCCACTGGATGTAATCGCACACAAAGTAAGTACTAGCTATATTTATATATATAATTCAATTAACACCATGCATGTTTTCAATTCACCGGATCTTTTTCTCATAAAAGTGGGTTCTGAGGCAAGAACAGGGAAACAACTACTGCGGATACTATGTTTGCGAGTTCATCATGGCGTACTCAAAAAGAACTCCTAAAGAGAACCTCAAAGTGCGTTATATAAATATATTCATATATTCACAATTTCTTTTATTGCTCATATATATAAGTAATCACGTGACCAACACACACATATATATATATATATATATATTAATACTTTTCCTTTAACTGTTTATTGAAGACTCTATGGTTGAAGGAAAACGGGTCTATGGTTGAAGGAAAAGTCACATGACGTGACCAACTGAAAGCAATTCAAGAGACCACAACATGATTTCTTAATGACCAAGTCCTAAACCCCGCCGACGAGTTGTACAATAACATGAACGAAACATGGAAGCCAAACCAGATGGAGTGAATTTGTTATCCCAATAATATGATAGAATATACAATGCAAGATTTATTTGTAATATATATATATATATATATATACATATTATATGTACATAAAGTAATATATACGTTAGTTTTATTCTTTAGTTTGTACAAAATGTTGAACATTATAAACGTGTAAAATACGTATCTTATTAGCAACGTAGAATGCGATTCGAAAACCTATTCGAAAACCAAAACGATTCATCAATTGAAAATAGAAAAAAAAAAAAAAAAAAAAAACCTTTAATCGTGGCTGGTAATACCAACCGGGACTAAAGGGCCGACCCACGTGGCCAGGCCGGGAGGCCTCTTTACCCCCGGTTGCTATTACCAACCACCTTTAGTCCCGGGCACGAAACCGAGACTAAAGGATTGGCCCTTTAGTCCCAGATTCGTGCTCCTAGTTCTAAAACCGGGACTGAAGGGGTTGAGAACCGGAAGTATAGCCTGTTTGTGTACTAGTGGCAAGAGCACGGAGGAGCAGAAGTAAGATTGTGGCCGGCGGCAGGAGCAGGGAGGAGCGGTGGAGCCTCGCCGGCGCCACGGTGCTCGTCACCGGCGGCAGCAAGGGCATATCGGGTGCGCTATGTGACCACCTCACAGTGTGATCTACAACGTTCGTGTCAATCAGTGCTCGTGCAATAACATGCATTGACGTACGTGTGCGAGCGTGTGTTGGTGCTGGCAGGCACGCGATCGTGGAGGAGCTGGCGGGGTTCGGCGCGCGTGTGCACACGTGCTCGCGGAACACGGCGGAGCTGGAGGAGTGCCGCCGGAGGTGGGAGGAGATGGGGCTGCAGGTCACCGTCTCCGTCTGCGACGTGTCCGTGCGCGGCGACCGCGAGGAGCTCATGGCCACCGTCGCGGCCACCTTCGGTGGCAAGCTCGACGTGCTCTTGAACAACGCAGGGCAGACGCTGTTCAAGCCGGCGGCGGAGTGCACCGGCGAGGACTACGCGCGGATCATGGCGACCAACCTGGAGTCGTGCTTCCACCTCAGCCAGCTCGCGCACCCGCTCCTCCGGCATGCCTCCGTCGCCGGCGGGGGAAGCGTCGTGCACGTCTCCTCCATCGCTGGCTTCGTCGGGCTCCAGGCGCTGGCAGTCTACTCCACGACCAAGCAGGGCGCCATTAACCAGCTCACCGGGAGCCTCGCCGCCGAGTGGGCCCGCGACGGCATCCGCGTCAACTGCATCGCACTGGGCGGCGTCAAGACTGACATCAGCACCGATGTAAATTCCAGATAATTCTCTTCCTTCGTACCCATTAAGTGGAAAGCTACAATTTCGTAAATAGAGTGACGGTTATTAATTCAGTACTAATGACTGAGCAGATGACAATAGACCCTGAGCTTGTGAAGAATGAAATGGCACGGCTGCCTATGGGGAGGATCTCCGAGCCGGAGGAGGTGGCGTCCATGGTGGCCTTCCTCAGCATGCCGACGGCGTCGTACATGACCGGCCAGGTCATCTGCATTGACGGCGGACGCACCATATCTTAGCTGCCATGACACCAATCGTCGATCTTGTGTGTGTGTATCTGTATGCCTAGCGAAACCAGCTGTAAAGGCATACGTTGATGTTATACTGCATCACCAGCGTGCATTGTGTTGAGGATTTAGTTCGTAATTACATCCATCAAATGCGTCCTTGTAGCCTGTCTTGTTTCTCTCATCCAATGTATACTAATTCCCGAAAATGATTTCGCGTAAATTTCCATTCCATACGTTCCTAGTGCTCGTGGTTCTACCTCCGGTCATAAGGCCCTCCACGGCATGGAGTGATGCCAAAAATAATTGAGCCCCACAGAAAAGATTTTAGCATCACCCTAGAAATGTGGACAGTGCGGTACTGCTAGAGGCCCACCTGATATATATTAAGTAAAGTCGTTGCATGTCTCTCGTGCCTCGGTTGAGTGGTAGTGGCTCGAGTGATGCCATAACTCTCTCTTTCCATTTCAGGAATAACTTTAGCTCACACTGCAGAAGGCCTAACCAGATAGGGCCTGTTTGTTTTCCTGCACAAACGATGGATGGGCTAGGCCCGTGGGCTGTAGCAACGCATGTTTGGTAGCCTGGGTGGCCTCGCGAGCCAGGCTGGCACAAACACTCGAAAGCCTGTACCATAGGAAATGAAATTGGAGTTCATTTCTTTTGGGCCTGGCCAGCTTTGATGCCCAAGCGATTGGTGTGGTCACCTCCCATACTCTCACCCAATGCGACCTTTTCTTCTTCCCGAGTCCTTACCATCACGGCCTGTCCACCGCCCGCCCAGATCCGCAACGCAGCCGTGCCTCCTCCTCATCCTGGTGACGCGTCTCGAAGACTGTGGCCGCCGTGCCTCCGTCGCCCGGATCGGCTAAAGCGTTGGAGGAAAGCGTCACGGAGGTACGAGGTGCTCACCTGTGGCCCTTGCCCATCTTCTTGCGGCGGTGCGGACACGAGGGCTGCGACCGCGCAGTGCCTCCGCCACCTGGGCTCAGCTGCGCTGGAGGAGAACGTCACGGAGGCCGTGGCAGGGAGCGCTCACCAGCAGCCCATGCTCTTCCTCCTACCACGACGTGAACACAAGGGGCACCACAGTGTTACGCCTTCGCCGCCCGAGCAAGCTCAGTTGTAGCGTCTCGTGTTTGCTCATGTCCTTCCTGTGCCTCCGCTTCATGAGGCCTTGGTTGAAGGACATCGAAAGGCCTCACAAGCCAAATCACCTAAAGTCCACTTAAACAGAGTACTTCTAGCACATTATCGGAAATAAAAATTTATCGGAGGTCATGCATAAATAGGATAAGCAAGATATATCGGAAATATTGGACAAAATTCAAAAAAATTCAAATTGTTTTGAAAAAAAATTCGTAGAATTTGACTTGAAACTATTCCTAAGCTATTAAACATCACTTGTTCACAGATAAAAACAAGAATAAAACTTTATAGTGTGGGACCGTCGCACGGCTGAATTTGGGTTGTCTGTGTGGGAGTAGGAAAAAAGGGAAAAATTTGGCCGATGTCAAATTTTATCGGACCCCATGGATAGAATGGAAATTTCAAAAATTTCCGTGAATTTTGGCCGATAAAAAAAACCTTGCCTCCGCCTACTAGACCCAGAGCCATGGGCCGCAAGACCCGTTAGGGCGAAACCCTGCTGTCCTCGGCGCCGGCGGCCCCCTCCTCCCCCTCCCATCCTCTCCCTTCTTCCACCCCCGTCCTTCACCATCTGCGCTCTGAGGCCGGCCACGGCGACCCAGCTGCACCATCGCCGTTCGGGAAGGCGCCGGCCATGACGGCCGCCCCCTCCTCGTCGCCGCCGGCGCCAGCTGAGCCGGCGTTCGCCTCCCCATCCCCACCTCCTTCTCCCTCGTGCTACTCCCTTCCTCGGGGAGAGAACTCGGTGTGAGCACCGCCAAGCGCATGAAGCAGAACCGCTGCAGTCCGAGGCTGCGGGCGAGGTCGAGCATGACGCCAGCGCTGGACAAGTTCGAAAGAGCACCGAGTCGACGCCCTTGTCGACGAAAGCACCACCTCGAGCGAGGACTCGGTGGCGCCCATCGCCGGCAGGTGGCCCAATGAGCCTAGCTCTCGGGGAAGCGGCCCACCGCCAGTCGTCACTCCCGGGGCCCTCGGGGCTCCACCAGAGCGGAGCCGGCAGCAGCCATGGAGACGGGCGTCCCTGCTGCTTCACCTGGTCCAGATCCACTCGACGCCTTCCTGATTCGTCCGGATCTGGTTGGGGTAGGCGACCCCTTCCCGGAGGCCAGTCCGGCGCGGCCGGCTGCCACGGGTGGCTCTGCTCCGAGCTCGTCCGCCCCCTCCTCTCCTCTCCCTCGCGTGGGATGTGGTGCTGAGGAGAGCGACGCATGGCCACCACCACCACCCGCATCTCAGCGCTGCAGCCGGGAGGCTGCCGGCGCCCCCAGCTCGCCCGCCCTCTCTCTAGATGCGGCTCCATTCTACCCGGGTGGCCCCGCGGGAGGGCACACGAAGCACCGTCGGTGGGCGGATGTTGACGGCGAGAAGTCCGACGACGACCACCCCGCCAGCTACCTGGACGCCACCGGTCGCTGTGTCCCGCCGCGCACCCAGACTCGTTCAATTGTGATTCTGGGCCGTAGCGAAGCGGAGGCAGGCCGACAGGGTCTTGGGCGAAGGCGGGGGAAGCGCAGTCCCGCGCCCACAGGTGGTATACGGCTTGCCTGTTCGGCCAGTGGATGGCCGCATCCCGCACGCTAGCACCTCGGCCGCCATGGACGGGTCTCCGCCCCAACGCCAATGGGTGGCGGGAGATCCTCCCCTGGCAAAAGGCGCAACCTACGACCGCTTCAGCTGAGCCTCACCGCGATGCAAAAGCAACCTCTGCAGACCCGGAAGGTTTCTGCGGAGCTTCACTGCAAATGCTTCAACTGCCTTTCCTACTCGCACCCAGTAGCGACTTGTCGATTGCCACGGCGTTGCCTGCGCTGACATGGCTTTTGCCACCTCGCCAAGGACTGCAGGCAGCCTAGGCATGCTGATGTGGCATCTGCGACGAAGGATGGCGACCGACCGCGGCACCTCGCTTGTGGCGGCAACCCACCGGCCTCCCAGCACGCACCCCACGCGGTTGGAGCTGCGCCAATTGCTGCTGGAGATGGCGGTGGAGGGCCTCCATGTCGGAGACACCGGAGACATCGGCGATAGCCGAGAGGGGACGGCACAGCTACAACAACCTCCAATACCGCCACCAACCGTGCTGCCCGGGAAGGTCACGACGAACCAACCAGCGAGACGCGCCATATATGGGGCCTCTCCGAGCTCGATCCGCTGTTGCTCTCACCATACCCAGACAGCACGCACGTCACACATGAAGTATCAGAGGACCCGATGCTTGAGGAGGTTGTAGCCTCGTTCGTAGCCACCAGTGTGAGCACCTGCGCCACTTCAACAATGGTCTCGCACCCCGCTCAGTTAGCAGCGGACTCGGTTCCACCGCTACTCAAGCATGGTCAGTCTCAGGTCACGCCGCCTCAGGCCACGCAGAGCACCTCAGGAGCTGACGTGCCTACACAGGACGAGGTGGGTGGTCCGCCTAGCTTCGGTCTGGCCGAGCCCACGACAGTTGCAGACATGTTCTGTACACCGCCTCGAGAGGACCGCACAATTGATGTCAGCGATAGCTCCGCCGCACGCCGCCTCAAGAGCTTCACCAGGCGCACGCTGAAGAAGGTCGACTCTCCGCTTATTCGTGGAGCTTCACCAAGCTCAAGACATGTTTAGTTCCCAAGCAGCCTCCTGCTAAGCCGGTGCTGCCATGGCGATGCAGGCGGTTGGCGGCTCAGAGCCTCTCTCAAGTACCTGCTTCCAAGCGAGGTGAGGTGCTGATCATACAGCGTATGGGCTATACCAAGAGTCCATCAGCGCCATCCCGTCGAAGCTGGAGGCCTTTGATAAGATCTTCGATGGCAGCCTAATTGCGTCCAACGTCGAAGCCTTGGACGCGGTCTTCCCGAGCGGTGGAAAGGGCTCGTCCAGGCAGCCGCGAAGACGCAAGACCACCTCCTAGGTCGCACCGCTGCATCAGTTTTTGTTGTTTTCTATTTATGTAATATCGAAATTAGAGGTCTTTTGCTAGGTTGGTCCGGCTACGGCTATTTTAGGTCGACCTCCTTTGACGCTCGATAAAGACGCGTTGTCTGTATGTTTAAACTCTTCTTCTTAATAAAATGATACACACATTTTTTGTGGTTGAAGCCCTCACCGCTATGGCCATACGCCAGCACGTTCATACTGGTGGCTTCTTGTCTAGCCTGCATGCAAGGTGTTTGTGAAAATGTCTAAGAGAAATGGTGATGTGTGGTGAAGGGAAGAAGAGAGATGTGATATGGTGGTAACTCCAAAATAAGCTGATGCAAGGTAAGCAGATTTATCTATACAGTCTAACAAACACCGGTCATTTTCAACCTTGCTCATTTCATACATGGAAAACAAACATGAGTAGTCGCACTAGGTTAGCACGACGCAACCCAACCTGTCTCTGGCCATCCATACAAGCCACCCTTGTGCAGGGAAACAAACAGGCCCATAATGTTTTGGACAGCATAAAGTTTGTACAAGTCAAATTTTTGGTGAGAAAATACTAATACATTGGATTATTTCGCGTAAAACCACAACCTACCTGAACTTGTGCACCACTACTGCAACTGCCAAAACTTGTGGCGCAGTAGAGTAATTTTGCTTTGCCACATCATATGGTTTGGCGCAGCCAAAAAAAATTGAAATATAAACAGAAACATTTTGGAGTTATTTTTATAATATGATTTGAAAACGATTAAAAAAACCAAAGCGTCCGCCTATAGGCCCGGTACCATGGGTTCAGTATAATCCTTCGTCTGGGGGTGTTTTTATGTAGAGAGAGGAAACAATTATAGCATACTCTAGAAAGTATATATTTCACCCCAAAGAGTATCATACTTTTATCCACTGGAGAAGTCCTTGGAAAAGTCAGGTATATAAACAATTATAGCATATTCATA